GATACATCCCCATCCAGGATTTAAAAAAAAAAAAAAAAGAAATGTATTTATCTTGGAATCATTTATTGTACTGAACGGAAACCCTAGTTCCCAGCAGAATCGGACCTCTGGATTCTGTGGACATCCCTGTTCAGCCCTTTGCAGTGCGGTGTTGGAATGGAAGACGCCTTAACTTTTCAAAATGGTATTACCGTCATTAAACACATACTCACAGACAGACACACACATAATAGCAGCAGCAGAAAATAACTAAACTCATATTTCCACCCATGAGTGTGTGTATTTGTGTACATGTGGTCAGCTTCATACATAAATAAATGCACACAGAAGGAAAGTAATATTATTTTCTCAGAATTAAGTGAGCTCACTACAGTCTGAGATTATATTTCCCCCTTTTTCTAGCAAATACCCCTACTGCCCCGCTTGTTCTCTGTACTGGGTCTTCTCTCTGGTTGCGGTGCTGTGTGTTTAACTCCTGCTGAGACCTGGTGCCCCCCGTACACCTGCCTAAGTACCAGCCCCTCAGCCCTCTGTGCCTGCCCCACCCTCGCCTTCATTCATTCACACATAAGTCGCCACTGAGAAACAACTCTGCTTCCCAGTACCCTGGCCCAGCACTCAGCACATGAAGACGAACAAAGTGCTGCCCCTGAAGTATTAGTTGCCCTTTGTGGGGGGAGATGGACTTGGGTGCCATTTGCCCAAGTCCTCCCCAGGAATTTAGGTTCTGGGAGTGTAGCTGTTGTCTAAATCCTTCCGGAGCACCGAGTGCCTCCAAACCCTTGGGTCCTCTCACCCCCCTGGTGTTTGATCAGACATTTTAATAGAGTCCAGAATGACCTATACAGAGACCAGGCTGGTCCGCTTACACGGCAGCCACATTTCCCGTGGGCTCCTGGGCACTGGCCAGTCCTCTGGCTCAAGCTTGGGCCTCAGGGCTGGGGCCTTCCTTGGCCTGGGTCTTCTGGAGCTTAGCTCTTAGTGCATCTTCAGCCCTTGCAACCCTCAAGGCAAGCCTTTCACTGGTGGCAAGTTCTAGATTTGTGCTTGGCTCCCTAGGATATTTTAAAACTCTGTTGATAACACATCGAGTCCTCATAGTAAAGGAAAAGGGAAATAGGGGATGCTTGGTTCCTTTTTTGTTAGTGGGTGCATGTCTTCTCTTCTCACTACCTGTTGCTGTTGCGTTGTATTTCCCTGTATCTTTTTTTTAGGAAGATCGCTCTGGGGCTACCTAAATTCTCCCAAATCTTTCCCATGCTGTTGGGGGCGGGTGGTGTCCAAAGGTCTCGGCAGGACTGGTGAAGTGGCTGCAGTGGGGACAGTGGTCAGGCAGGCCTGGGCTCCAGAGCGAAGCCCCGAGGTGGAAGGCACAGGGGTGGAGAAGTCGAGCCGTGGAGAAGAGGGGAGAGTGTGAAACCCCAGAGGACTCAGGCTGCATGGCCAGGGCTGCAAGACCAGCCTGCAGGACAAGGCTGATGGCGCTTCTGATTCACACCGTCCAGGGGCAGCGTCCGCGCCGGAGCGGGCTCAGGGCTGCAGACGGGGCCCAGGCAGT